GGGATTGAAATCAGTCCGCCCTCGACTGGTACTGGTGTGCCGCCAATTCGCACATCTGGTCATCCCATCCGATGGAGTCTTCAAGGGGACACTCAATTTTCGAAAAGGAGCCGCCCTCAGTCCGTGTAACAAGTGCGCATGTGTGTTACACCCCTGGTCAGCCACATTGGAAACAAACTCCAACGAGATCTTGCGTTTGACAAGCAGCCGCCCCCTCTCCCTGTTCCATGAATGCGCGCGGCTCTAAGGCGAAAGGCACATTGTAAACAAGATTCGCCGCACACCCGCGTAAGTGGTGGACGCGTGTAAAGCGAACGTGTGCGGCGCTTACGTGAAAGCGACTTGTTTAACTACTTGCCGTCCGCCCTTGCTGGCGTTGGTACATGGAACTCACATGCGGGTGGCTCTGAAGCAAGAACCGAATTCAAAACACCACCCCCGATCCATCCGTGCAGCAGCGAGACAGTCTCCAATGAAGCGTCCGGCCCCAGAGCTTTTCAGGAATGAGGACGAGCATGGGGGGGGACGAAGGAGAGGAGGAAGAGAAACGGGAGGGGAAGAGGGGAATGGAGGAGAACGTAATGATGACTACCCACCAGACCACCCGAGCCCAACCCGACGACCCGAATTTCGGGTTGGGGGGGGGGGGTACGGGCTGCATATGTTTTTTGTAATGTTTCCCAGCCCCTCCCCCCACTGGAAATGAGGCAAATCGGGGCCTTCGGGTTGGGTTTGGGTGGTTCGGTGGGCGGTGATCTGATAATTTCCTTTTTTCGCTCGATCGACATGAAGACTGGGTGTTCGCAGGACGAAGCATGAACGCAATGGAAACGGTTGGCTTTGCAGCTGCTTCTGCGCGCCGTGTCGGAACGGCGTGGGCACGCCGCTCGAAACATCAGGCGCGCGATGCTCAAACACAGATGCCATACCTCCTTGGAACCTTGTCGCCGCACGCCCTGAACACTGCTTCGGTTACACCTCGGGGGCCGCGCCTAAGCATGGGACTGCGCCACATCATGTGGCCCAAGGCTGCACCGACGAGACCTCAAACCATGAAAGAGAGTCAGCGTGAACTTCTTTTTTCCGCCCCTGTGGATTTCCATCGGGTGCGCTGTATGTGTTCCGTCGTCCCGTCACTTGTTGAAGTGTGGCCCTTCCCAAAACCCTCCCAGACGGCTATGATTCTACCCGCGCGACCGCCCTCGTAACTACGGCGTCCTTCTGAATATCCTGATGCGGCAAGTACCGAAAACCCTGAATCCACAAATGCTGCCGTCTCCTTGGGGTGTATTACTCACGCCCGCCGGGTTCCGCCGGCCTTCCGCTGGCGGAGGCAGTCTCGCTTGATTTCCCGCCGCCTTCCACTGACCATTCGTTCCGCCCCGGAAGAGAAACCAACTCCTTCGATCCCCGAACGCGGGGAGCCTTCTAGAACGCACAGGACCCGAGGAACCCGAGGACAGGACAGGACAGGAACCCGAGGAACCTTCTAGAACGCACAGGACCCGAGGAACCCGACGCATATCGTCGTCGACGCGACAGGACCCGAGGAATCCTGGCGCAGGGACGCCGCACTTCCACCCCCGACGGACTCCGTGGCCGCCTCCCGCTTGCACACATGCCAGCTCCGCGGGCGGCCCCCCCCCGGATCGTGACGCCCAACTCCTCCGCAGGTGCCGCCCGTGATCTCCGAAGCTGTGGGGTCCGGCAGCTGCTCGGCATCTTCACGTAGGCGACGAGCAAAAATAGGTGCCATGCGAGATAACATACAGTCGGGGCGTTGACCCAAGGAACCCTAGATAAGGAACGAGGCCTCTTTTTTCCATCAGTTAAAGCTCGATTTCCCATGGGAAAACCTCAGGAAGACCTGAGGCAAACTGTGAACCAATCAAGGAACGCCGAGCCCCTCCCCAACGAGAAGGGTTCCTTCTTCAGCGCCCCGACTGTATCTTCACGTAGGCGGCGAGCAAAAACAGGTGCCATGCGAGATCACACAGCGATGTCACGCAGCGGCTTCCGCGGGCCGCCAACGCGGCACGCCACCCCTGGAAGCGAGGGCACGTGACGCGCGGCCTTGCGCGGGCGGCTTGCGCGCCAGTGTCGGTGACATCGGCCCCGTGTTCTCTCGTCGCTCACATGCGACTGCGGATCCTGTCTTGGCCTGGTCGACTCACTTCTGGTTCTCCTCCAGGAGTGAGGAGCCCGCTGCCCCACAGAAGGGCAACGGTCGGGACCTCTTGCTCAGCGCGTCGCGGCGGCGGCCCCGAGGACGCGCGATGCCCTGCGAGCAGATCGCGTGCCGCTCCGCGTCTCGCGGGGCGGCTCGCACAGGCTCGGGACACTGACGGCTGGGGACTGGGATGTGGGTGGCGCGTCGCGCCGAGGCGCGGTGGGCTGGAGCTGGCGGCGCGACACGCCGTGCCAGCGCCCGACTGTACCCCGCTCGCGCGAGCAGGGCCCGGCCCTCGCGCGAAGAGGCAGGTGTGCACCGCCGACATCT